ATAAAAAGTGCACTCAGTTGAACTCGCCGGCTAGACGGTTTATACTACTGCTGTAGGCTCCTAAATTTGAAACTTTAGGAGCCCACGTGGCTAGTGGAAATTTTAGTTAAGTTTAAACCCTGCATGTATATAGAAAGTGTGAAATAAGAACAAGTGTGAAACAAAACAACAAAGAAACCTCTACTCGCTGAAAAAAAAAGATATAGGAAAAACAAATTGTTATATGTATTCGGCCTAATGCCATTAATCAGAACGGAAATCGACAAGGTTTTTTAGAGAAAAAACCAAGCCCGGTCCTATAGGTCAAATCCCTATTTATAATGAAGTGATCCTTTATATGTTCATGTTATAGAAATATGAAATAATTGTAATACTTTGACATCCGATTATAATCGGTAAAATCGCATTGGAAGCATTAACTGATTCCAACCGATGATCGATTATGAACATTAATCCCATGATGTCCCATCACTAACGGCAAGTATTTTAACCTAAAATGTAACAAAACTGTATTTATCCTTACATGTATCTCTCGTTGACGTTTGCACAAAACTGGGAGATCTTCTTATCTTTAAAAGCATGTGTGAACTTTATAATGACCTCACAATGATTAGCACACGGTTGCATCATTATATAAAATAATAAAACACAGTAATATTAATCAGTATGCACTTTTATTTTTCCAAACGTAAATTTAAGTAAGAAACAGAAATATTGAAAAGTTACTGGGATATGAACTTGGTTCGTATGTAATCAAATCTGATAAGCCCTTCAGCCTTCAAAGCGATCACGTGACCAACCAATTTAATCTCGAAATTAACTTTTTGACATGGTTTTTCTTTCTTAAATAAACGTGGAACATGCAAGTTCGGGGAAAACTAAATGAACAACATGGGCATTTAAAAATAAGAGTCAAATTATTTCCTTTGAATAAAATATTCAAAAAAAAGTTATTTTTCACGGGGTCTTCTGCCATTTCGTTACAACCTGGTTGCGTTAATATTTGTGTAGGTGTGGCACTGCCAAATCAAAAATGCAATAATATATATGCAATCAGAATATGCAAAAATCCAATTAAATAAAAATGCTATAAAATATGAGTTTGGCAGGAGTGGTTTTTGTTTCTCCAATTAGAAAACATAGCAAGAGTGTGCTTGGATTTTTGCAGACAATCAACAAAGATATTCTTCCATGACCAGCATTCTCACCAGACTTGAATCCGATAGAACATCTGTGGGATGAGCTTGATAAACGGGGTTAGACGCCGTCTCAACCACAATCCAGGATCTAGTCCTGGGTAAGATCTAGAGATCCAAAATATATTACGTTTTCCTGGCTTTTTTACGATTTTGATATTTTACCTCCCAGGAAAACGTCAGAACCGGCGCCGTTACGAAAAGTGGAAATTTCGTCGTCTTCAACTTTAGTTGATTTTCGACACTTTTGAACCGAATTAAATGCCGAACTCACAATTTAAAATCGCCCCGTTTTAAATTCGCCCATATCCAACGAGGGCGAAAGGGGCGAAAATTTCCCTGTATTCAATATCAATAGCACAATGCATCTGGTACTCACCAATATTGATGAAAATAAAACATCACTACACATTTCGATACAGGACTTTAAGATTTTAAAATGTACGAAATGAAAACAAATCTCGACGGTCAGATAAAACGTTCTCATTGGATTGTATATTTTACAAGCGAACCATATACATGTAAAATGCTGTTGATGAGTACCAGAAGTATTGTTCTATTGATAAATAGTGATTTTTTCATATTATTCGGTTCGCGAGTATATAACCAGAGAATGTCGCCTCCAACCGGAGGAGGCTATAATTCTAAGTTTTCGTAATGGCACCGGATCTGACGTTTTCCTGGAACGCAAAGTATCAAAATCGTAAAAAAGTCTGGAAAACGTCTGATATTTCCGACCAGAGCAGGCCTGGTTGCAAGGAAAAGAACGAATAATATTGCTCAAGTTACCACCAATATTAACTCTGATACAACTTGTTCTAGATGCAATTGATGCATTCTGAATATAAAATTGCTAAATGCATTGCCATTCAAGAACGATCGCGACGTTTATTTGTGTTGAATGTCTTGTGCAAATGTTTTGGCAGATCATGTGACATTGTTTACATTTGAATACCCACGAGTTTCCGGTCAAGTGTCCTGCTGAACAATAACTGTTTTTATTTCATGAATATACCTGTGAGCTGAAATCGAAGGCTTGAGGTGTCAAGAACATAACTATAACTCAGGATCTTTAAAACACAATTGCTAACATTTTTTATATGTGCAGTCGTACTTAAGTTTTAAATTGTCACAGTGAAATATAAAGCTTGTTTCATAACTAAATGGAAAATATGTTCAGGAAAAAAATATCGTTCTTAGCATGAAGGTGCTTTCATTTGGCATCAAACCATTTTGAAAATGCATATGTTTGATTTGTACTTTAACAGTGTCATACATGTAAAGTGCCGCTTCTTCAACAATCAAACTAAAAGTGCTAGAAGATTGCACATACAAGCTATAACAGACAATTTAAAGAACACGATATTAAACGACGCATTACAAAGTATTTTAACATAAGCACAATTTTACGAAATTAGACATAATTAGTATGTTGACTTAATCGTGTTGCAATTTTTAAAAATTAATTTTACCGCGGAGAATGCTTTTATGCACTTTAGTAATATTTATATATTTTTTTTGGTAATTCAACAAATTATAGGTACTCAAAGGTACATAGGTATTATAATCTCTTAAATGAACTGTATATAAAAGACAGAAGAGTGAACTCTCTATTGAGAAAATCCAGCTCACTCAGAATACGGAAAGGTATGATGCTTCATGCAAAGGCATTGCTTTCTTTTGGTGCTTCATTCAATTTTGCTAAAAGAAAGTTTCAAGCTAATTATAGTTTCAAATGCTTAAGTTTGGTAAATTTTGCATCATTTTTATTTATTTATTTTTTAATTGCTGCATTTACTGGTGTTTCTGTTTACGTTTTACATTGCATGAAACGATTACACTTATATAAAAAGAAGGTACGGTTTGGGCTTCATTGTGCCCTAAAATTTATTTTTCTTAAAATTTATGAAATTGGCTTTAACAATAGTTGAGTAGATCATTAAAGAATAAGGATTGAGGTAGGACCGTACTGGAAATATGACATCATTAATTTGGTACATTTCTAAGTTTAATGCAGAAAAGCCTCAAAATGACTCATTTCTGTGCTTATTTTCCTTTAGAAAATAATGTCTGCCACCGTCGCCCAGTTCAGTTTTTGGATATATTATGTAAACTGCTTTGAAACATCACATATTTCAAAGTCTTTCTGGGCGACTGTGGCAGAGTATGTTTTCTGAAAGAAAATTCCACTGAAAATTGATGTCTTCTGCAACTTTTTAAGAAAATACGGGAAAATGCACAAGTAATGACGTCACAATTAGCATTTAGGAGGTCATATGAGAAAAATGATTTCTGTTTTATTACTGCATGGAATTCCAATGAATCAGAAGGAATGAATTTTAATTCGTTATATTATCACTTTCATATTTTAGAAAAATATAGGGCTTAATTTGTATTGAAACTGTACCTTCTTTTCAAAAAATGTTCAAAATCTTAGTTTTATGGACAGTTATTTTTTTAATTGCTCTCCAAAAACCTGGCCTAAAGAAGTAGTATCTATAACATGTAAGCAAGATAAGGAAAAATATTCCGTCAATTTTTGAAGGGGCGGGCGTAATATATAATTTCCTCGCACTGTGAAGACTTTATTCTCTTTCCGACTCATCAGAAGAATGGAAAATTTTTAGAAAGTGAATATTTATTCATTTTCAAACCTTTCGGCATTTTATTTATTCTTTTTTTTCTTGATAAAAGTCTGAAATGAATCCTTTCTGGGCTTTTTAAAAACTAGTAATCTCTTAATTTATATGACTGAAACTACTTGTATCGCGCGACTTTTTCATGAATTATACATGAAAGCATTGCAAGCAATCTCTCAGACCAAACTAACCAAACTTGACCCCACCTTACGCAAAATATTAATAATATAATTAGATTTTTTTCAATGCTGATATAATTAACTGCAATGTTTTTTCAAAGGTTTTCCAAAGAACAAAGATGAACAAAATGTCAACAATCGTATTTTGTATATGCTGCGCCATCTTCCTTTTTTCACAGGGTAAGCAGTTTTTATAAAATTGGCGTAGGTTATTGTTTCTTTCGGGAGGGGGGGGGGGGCAAAATCCAACTTGCACTGTTAAATACATTTTAACAAGTACCTTTTATTTTATTCTATAATTTAGGAGCTGATGCGAATGCCTGTACATTTACCGAGTTGGCAAAGTGTAGCACCAACTTCGGTCTACCCTTATTCACTCCAAAACGACAGATTTGCAGGTGCGTCTTTTTTATGTAATATATAGATACTACAGCTGTTATTTAAATAAGCAAATGCAGGGGCATTTAATTAACTTATTATACATTGTTATTTACAAATACATTAGACAGAAATGAATTAAGTATTCGAGCTGAAATGACTATTAAATCTAGGCATATCAGAGCAAATTTTGCCCACTTTAAACATCAGATCTTGGATCTGTCATGGAGACAATAAACTGAGAACAGACAGTTTAAAAGAAGAAAGTACAGTTTGGGCAAAAATATGCCCGGTCCAGGAAATCAACTAAAACACAATATAAACTATTACAGTATATCTAATTTATAAAAATAGTAATTTTAAATTGATATCTTTTAAAACGCCTGAAATATAATTCTTCAAAGTACAGTACTGATATTTTGACGTCGCCCTTTTTAAAGCGAAATCAGACACCAAAGGATTTCACTTCATACTAATTATTTACCAAAATGAATGTTTGCGTGACGTGCTTTAGTGTACCATTAAGTAAAATGTTTATAAGAATTAATTATAAATATTTTATGATTATTATAAAGTCACCAACTTGATCTAACCAATGGAAATCAAAGGTCAAAGGTCAATTAAGTGCCTTACTTTAACCATGTTTTGGACGCTTTTAATTTTTTTGTTTTACTGCAATGGATGTTTGAAATGGTAATTATTAAATTATTCACTGAAGCTAGGTTATTATAATGAACTACATTCAGTTGAGAAAAATCTTTTTCAGATATGTATACATATAAGTTCTGGGTTGCTAAGCAATAAAAAAAAAGTTAACCTCGCTGTTGTTCAATCATCATTAACACAATTTCTCTTTCCAAGATTTACTAAGTTATTTAAGACATGGCATCATAATAATGCAGTTAACTTAAAAATATATGCCAATGAGCATTAAATTATACATTTATACATTTTTTAAAATCAATCACTATTCGTAATCTTCACTTTTTATGGGGCTTATATTTTTTTGTCCTGTCTGCTTATCTGTTTGTCTGTTTACCCGTTTTTCTGTCTGCCTTTTGTCAACTTTAACCTTCGCCATAACTTTTGAATCATGATAGATAGAGACTTCATATTTGGTATGCATACACCACTAATTAAACTCTTTCACATGACACCAAGGTTGATGACCATGTGACCTAGACTGTGACCTATTTAACTATGTGCTAAAAATAGCTTTTTTGACGTTTGCCATATTTTTTTAACCATAGAAGATAGAGACTTCATATTTGGTATGCATACTCAACTGATTAAGTTCTTTCAAATGTGAATGGCCTTAACTGTGACCTGTATGTTAAAAAATAACTTTTTCGAACTTTGTTGATGCTGGTCGCATAGTGTTTTACAAACACATCTTGTTTTCATTTATATTTTAGTAAGTCATTGCAAGGGTAACTCAAAATTATTTTATTGTTAATGAACACGTACACTGGTATAGTAAACCATATACTTGTAGGAATATTGCTTTATGGCTGATGTAAAACAAATAAATAATTTTTTGACAAATATAGAAATAGTATATTCACAATTCATTTGTCAATTTCATCTTTCAGAATGATAATCATTTAAAAAATAATTATTCATTTTAGCTGCTTGGTAATACATGTAAGTTAACAAAGTGACTCGATGAGGAAGTATCAACAAACTGAGAAACAACATTGTATCATTAAGCAAGAATGAAATGTAATTGTAGATATAAAGAAGTCTGTCACTTTCGAGCTCAGGCATAACTGTACAGTTTCATGTAACTGATCTCTTTCTATCTGTAATGCTTCCTCGTTTTCTATCACTCTTCCAAACCATTGTCATCACCATCACTATCCGATTCATCTATAATGTCCTGGATGTCAGAGGCGTCCTCCAGTGTTGTAGTCCAGTTACGAACCCCTTTCACCAACTCCTGATGACGCCCGAAAGAGAGGTACCATACAACACTGGTTACATGACCACACATTCCAACGACTCTAGTCCCAGCTTTACATTTGCAGTACCACCCATCCACCACTCCATCACTGAAACTAATCCAGCATCTGTACTGTTTAGCAGCTATATGTCTGCTTTGAATCTTAGCACTAACCAACCCAGGAATGTCATCACTTATGCAGATTTCAAATCCACCATCTTCATCAATGTGCTTTTTAGCATAGGAATGGGCCATGCGTAGTTGATATACTCCAAGAGTAAGTTGGCGCAATTCAGTCTCTTCATAGCATGGGAAATCTGGGGCAACATTCTCTGCATCAACTTTAGTCCAACGCAGCCCTCTTCTGTCAAGTCCCTCAGTTTCCACGCGTTCCTGTAAATGCAAAAAGGTTATTGTGCAAGTTAAAGTCTTTTACTAATTCAGAGTAATAGGAAATAGAAACATTCAACTCTTTTTTTATTTCAACAACTAGATATAACTATTTTAATGTTTAGTTCAGGGTAAGTTTTGTCCTTGACCTAAAGACAACAATGAACATGCCACATATGCATCATTATAAAACTACGAAAATATATATTTACCTGTAATGTGTTGACTCTTTCTGAAAGGTGAAGCATTTTTGCAGCAAGTTGTTTGTCCTCATCGGATGACACACTAAGTGGTGGCCTGTACTTATTGCACAGTGCCGCCACAATTCTCACATAGTCACCAATAAATGGGATTTGCGAGTTTGGTAACGTTTTAGCTAAATACTGCCACTGTTTCAGTCGCCCATTTGTTGCTTCTACGATCCAACGAACCTGAAAAATAAAAAAATAGAATGCTTAATAAAACGTACAACAGTTTTCTTCTATTTCTGCTCAATCTATAAATATATTATTGTATTTCATATGCAAAGTAATAATTATGTTATAGCTAATTGGTAAAAATATTACTCTAAATACAATGTAAATATATTTACATTAAAAGAAAATACTATAATACCTTTGTCACGACTCGAGACAAGTTAGAATCAGATGTGGAGAGCTGCTTGGATCCCCTTTTCATGAAAGCAGGCATCTCCATCCTGATTCCAATGTCTTCCAACAAATCCTGGGCGTCCCTGAAACCACGGTCGACAACAAAGACGTCATCTTCCTGTATCCAGCTCCTGATCTCCTCAGCATTACTATGAATCATGTGTTTTAGGATGTTGGCGTCATTATTCTTTGTGTCAGCCAGATAGGGCCCAAGAACCGATACAATGTATCCACTCGTTGTTACCACGATCATTGGTTTTACCAGGGGCCTATGTTTGTATAAACTGTATGATCGTCGTGCGAAAGCAAAATTTGAACTTTTCTGTATGTAGACATACGTTCCATCCAAAACCAAGATTGCAGGGTTTGTCGTGATGTCGTGGGTCAAAAGATCCCTAGCTAGCTCATGAGTGTGGTTGTGAATGACTTCTTCACGTGTAACATGCTGAAATCCAAGATTGGATGGCACGAAGTCTTTCATAAGCGCTGCTCTGGCAGATGCAATAGCTCGTCGAACCTGAAAAATGAGATACTTCTAAGTTAAAAAAAATACTAGTAGATACATGTAAAAGATGTCCTGTTTCAAAATGTGAGATAGAAATATACATAAAGATACATGTACATACATGTATATACAATGTTTACTTGTATACAATTTTTATAACATTACTTAAAAGTCTTACTTGAAACTTAGTCATGCAAAATAAAACGGCAAGCATTTTGTTTGAAAGGGCTGATCTCAGTTTCATCAACAGGATGGCTACACAAGTCCTCTTGCTTCGATTTTTGGAGGAGTTGATACTGGTAATTGTTGAGACAATGTCATGAAATTCAAGACGAGAAAATCCTGTCAGCACTTGATAGTCACTGTCGTCTAGGCTGCCTTCATCATCAAAGTCAAGCCTCGATTGCTGAAACGCTTTATCTCGCAATTCCTAAAATATTTTAAAATATTTTCATCATAAATGCTTTATTGTCATCGTTAATGTTATTAGTAATCCAATATATCCGGTATAATATATTGTGTATGACTAAGTTGGAAATAATAAATGATACCTTGATTAGATTGGTGATGGAAGTTTTGTTCAGTGTCGTGCTCTCACTCGTCTTAATCTGCTCCATAGCTTCATCAGTCATTTTCCCATTTTCCAAATGTCGAGTACAACACCTTGCACCAGACGGGATAATTATCCCTCGACTGATGAATACAAACATACGAACATGATGGGAAACTGTAACAAGTTTGGGTCCCTGTTTCTTGCAAACAAGGCAGTAACCATGGCTTTCGGTTGTTGATGGAATTGGCAGGGGAACGGAAGGAGGACTATGAAATGAGAGTCTGGTTTTCTTTGGATTTGGTGATGCGTAAGTTGGATCCTCTTTTTCCTCTTGGGGAGCTGGCCTTGATAATGTGAGTCCAGTGGCAAAAGATTTATTCTTTTTCCTACACTTATGACGACACTTATTACACAATACGTCTGAGTCTTCCACATTTACAGAAAAATGTTTCTGTAAAACAGAAAGAAATAAAGTAGCTGGCCGTCGTTCATCCTGGGGGATCTTCTTGTTGCACAGAGCACACTTATATCGTCTCTCATCCATCCTTTTAAAAAATAATTAAATCAATAAGTCAAAAGGTCCACGTCATCATGGTCATCTTAATCGATTAAATTTTGAAAATGATCGTAATACATCATGATTTACAGACATACACAATAAGCTGAATTTTAGTTATTATATGTATCCTCATTTGTAATGATCAGACAATTAAAAGAACAATTATAAGCCTGAAAATAAATATGGTTTATCAAAGAAAATCGACCCCATTTTAACACTTTTCAGCTTAACACACTCTTTTTAATTAAGAATTTTTTCTGGGTTAGCATGGTAAGGTTTGATTATTATTTTTTTTTTATTGTTATTAAATTTTTATCGAGTTTATTCATTTGAATTTATATTGATCCACCTGGCCTCAATCCCCAACACAAATCTGATGTAAGACCCAACAAATGGAAAAAAGCCGGTATGCATTTTTATTTTTTTCTTGGTTTACCTATTTATTTACTTATTTTATAGTGTGTTGACCCCCCCTCCTTCCGCACTATATCCCCCGAATTTGCATTTGCCTATGGTAAAAGTCTGTCATATGATCAATCAAATACTAGTTGATAATTTCAATTGAATTCATGCAGATCATTGCCTCTTTTAAAGAATAGTATTATACATTTTAATTTCAATATTTCAGTATATTATATTTTATTTATACATAGGCCCCAAACCAAACCATATATACAAAAAAAGAATAATAAAAAAATAAAATAATATAAATTCATATTTCCCAGAGAAACGGAATTTATGCTAGTTGTATAAAATCGGCAAAAATTTTGAGTTACCCTGTACCTTCCTAAAATTGGAATTCCCCTTCTTGACATTTAGTGTAGAGTGGATGTTTTTATTTACAACATATCACGGTAAAACTGTATCGTCCTCGCCTATTATGGTTTTACGTTTTCAATACACAAGAAATATAACACCATAAAAATGCAGATGCAGGATTTGCATTGCTATAATTATAATAAAAAGATAGATCTTAGCCACAGGCGTCATATACATGTAGATGATAGCTAGGATGGAACAGTCCCGTCTTAAAACTAGCTAATCTTGCAAGCACTTTAAGCTGAAATACATGTTCATTTTATCATTTTCTTGCAATTTTCAAGGATTACTTTAATCAAAAACAAACATACACAAAAATATCAAGCATACTGCAGATCTAACGCACACGGCACAGCGTCGTCTGCAACTTGCAAGCTGCATAGCTTGCATCTTTAGGTGACTGCACTCTTTACTACCTTTGTTTAAACGTCTAAGTATGTGAATTTTTTTTTTGAATGCTTCGTAATATATAATGATTTTCTATTGATTTGTATGTTTCTTAATTGGCTTACCTGGTTCCCAGGATTATGCAGGAAGAATCTGTTAAACGTTGGCACTATCTTTACACTGCTCTGTTTACACTAACCATAACAACCAAAATGTCAGCGTTCCGTACTTATGGATCAAATTTATCCGGTTTTTTTAAAATAAGAAATTGTAACAAATCAAAGCATTCTAAAATTATGAAATAAACTAAAAAAGATGTTTATAATTAAATGGTAGCCTTGGTTATCGTCCTCTCCTCTTCAATGAACTGAATATGCGCGGTGGTTTTAACACGGTGACCGTAGTTAAAAAATGATCTCATTAATATTTCAACCCTTCTGCCACTGTCGCCCGGAATGAAACTTTTAGAAATTATGCATTTTATAATAATCTTTCAATATACCAAAAATAGTTCCGGGCGACGATGGCAGAGATATTGAATTTATCTAATATATATGTACAAGGACACTGAAAAATACGAAAAAAGGGTTATCGCCCTTACTTTGATTCATTGTAACTTACGCATGCGCAAAGATAAGTTCATTTGAACATTATTTTTAAATAACCTTCTTGTTAGTCTATAATTTTATAAAGGAGAAATTGTTGAAACTTCAAATTAATTTTTCCTCAAAACGCCGTGCAGAATTATAAAGGAAACCGTACCTACTTCTTTCGATTTAGAATCATTATAGTTTGTCATTTAGATCACACACGTTATCAAACATTTGTAGGTTTGTAAAATATTCCAATTAATACATGCAGTTAAAAATTCTTGTGCTATCAACACTATTTCAAAAGTACATCGCCGATATGTCGCTGAAATATTGCCGAATCGGCGTAAAACATTAATCAATCAATCAACAATCAAAAGTACATGTTGTATAATTGATTTGATTTTTCGAGTTAAACCTGTTCTGTATGGACTTTGGACGAGTATGCACCAAGCATCTTTTGACGACCGGTCAAATCCGCCGTTTTCCTTATCATAACGGGGAGATGGGAAAAATTAATAGAAATTTCAGTGCGTATTAATTTTAATGGCCTTGTCATAACTGTAAAATAGTTTTGAAGATTGTTATATACAGTCTAGCAGCAAATGGAATCGCCTGTGTTGAGAGAGTGAACTCCGCCTGCCTGAGCAGTCGCCATGTTCCTGGAAGTAGTGACGTTCACATAAAAGGACTCCAAATCTTAGCAAGGATGAGGCAAAGACAAAAAGACAGGGGTTGCGGTAGATATGCTTATTCCTTTTTAACATGAGTCGCTTACTTATATCTTTTTTGTATTAATTTAATGCAATTGATAATTAATTAATAATAATTTTTTGGAAATCAAGGACCACCAAAAAGTTATTTTGACATTTTTTTCGGTAGATATTGTCTATTTATTTTCAATTTTAATGAAATGATGCATCTAAATTCATATGAAATTTTTCATAATATGAATGTATATTGTCGCTAAATAAATATCGTTTGTAATGTCTTTTTTCCTTTATTTGTAGTTAGTGGTGTCGGGAGACAGGAGACCAGTGTGTTTGTAATTGTTGTAGCTTGTTTGTTTGCATTGAATTTTTATTAAAACATTTGCCTTCCAAATAAAACATATGGATTTCTTTTTTTTTTTTTTTGGAAATCAATTGTATATCAAATATAACTTAATATTGAAAGAAAAAAGTTTAAGAAAAAAAGATTAAACTATATTTTTAAATATTGTTTTGTTGTTTTGTTTACACAATTTAATTAAAGGATTAATGCAAAAAATTCATATTATTATAATTTATACGACATTTTGATTCTTAATGGAATGCTGACATTTTTGAATAACCGTTTCTTGCAATTAAAAGACAGAGTCATTTTTCCCCAAATGATCTTCGAGAGATCATATTCTTTCTTCTAAATATTTAATTAAGTAAGACATTTTGGAAGAATAAACTTTTTGAGTTTTTAGATGTATTTCGAGGAAGGAGGGGAATTTGAAGTAGTAGAGAAAATATTTTTGTAAGCTTAGGACAAAAAAGTTATATCAGCATGTTCGAGATGAGATCATTAACGTTCAGAATTTGCCCCTTCCTTTATGGAGTGCCGAAACCAGTTCATCTTGACCACTCGAATCCCAACGTGGGCGCCAGATGATTTATACATTAGCTCAACCCAGTAGGAAGCAGTGTATCCGTGCCAACCACTTCTCAAGAACAACTGGACCTTTATAGCTGCACCGTCAAAATATTACATGTACTTATTCCAATGCGATAAGGAATTTAAATTCTGATGAATTTCAAATTCAAACCATGCTTAGCGCTTCCCAGTACTCTCAGTACTTTGATTTAAATGTGTATATAACCTCAAACAGAAGATGCCTCACTGTATTAATTTGATAAATCTAGGTCCGTTATTAGTACATTGTTATTGTACAATCATATATTAAAATTGTGTTATAATATTCCTTAACGATTTATTTATATTTTTGTCGTAACTTAGAGATAACAAGTTTTCTTGAAATTAAAGCTGAACATGCTTCTAAATAGGAATTCATTATTTACGGTATCTCTTTCTACGATATCAGTAACGAGTATATCATCGCAGTCGATGTCCCTGACAGCTCTATTTTCATGGGTAACGGCGTGGAATGGCGACCCGTTTTTTAAAGAATTGCTTGATGTAATTGTATCCTTTTAAATACAAAAAAAAAATTTAAAAAAAAGGGGGGGGTATTGTTTTTTAAACCTTTTTTTTTTTTAAAAATTGAAATAACAGTTTGATGCAAAGGAATATATATATAATAATTTATTTATCTGGATCGTACATCGACCAAAAAACAAAGGAAAACCAAATAAATAAGTATTAAATATGAAACATTTATACAAGCAATAGTCCAGTCAATTTAGCGTAAATATTGACAAAGGGTCAAACTAATTGCAACATTTTTATGGTCGTAGATTGAATCTAATATTTACACATTGTTATTTATAAATAAATACACAGTTATTTAGATAAGTATGTTTTCAAAATTCTAATTCTTAGCGATTCATTATTGTAACATCATGCTTTTCGCTGGAGGAATTGTTATAGAAGAGATCATTCGCATCGGAGCAAATCTCTCCAGCGTTTAATTGACGCTAGGGAAGGAAAACTTTTGTTTCAATGAAACATCGTTAATACTTATAATGTTAATTTCTTTTAACAGCACGAACGTCAAAGATGGGCAAATACTCAACCGTAGTATTTTCCACTTGCATTGTTTTCTTCATCTTTACTTCGGGTAAGGGAACTTATTTCAAGCAAACAACTTTTTTAACAGCTTATATATGCCTTTTTTCCCCAATGACCTTGATACGCGTTTCAAACGATAACGAAGGTCCGGCTATATGTTCTAAAATTACGTTGAGCCTTTTGCCTCAACGGCAGCTATGGCCTTTACGTAACAGAATCGATATTGGAAATCTGAAACAAGAGGCCGACGGACCTTGTAGGTCACCTGATTATCATGTAACAACTTTCCAACAATTAAATTTGGTTCGTATTTTAATCCAAAAGACATGAAATTAACAATTTTGAAAGAGGCACCATTGTTTATCTTAACTTTACACTTAGCATGCTTACTTTTGTTACTTAATACTATAAGAGGTAGATCAGAGTAACAAAGAGAAAATGCATTTCAACTTTATAACAGGAACCACTGACCCTGGGCCCATATTTCAAAATGTTATCATTAATTTTATTTCATCATAAATGGTTGATCAATAGCAAAGAGCAGCTTTCAAAGCACTACTTTATTTTCATAAACCCCCCCCCCCCCCCCCCCGGCAGTACCCCAAACCCAAGGGCCCTGAAATGAACCATTTTGGAAGAGGTACCTTTCTTCATCATAAATATACCTAGATAAATTGGCTTACATGTAATACCCAGGAGCAGAAGAAAACTTCCATAGAATTCATGCATTATAATCATTAGATTAACACCAGACCCCTGACCCTGGGGCCATGATATTCATAATTTTGGAGAAAGCAGCTTTGTTCAACATAAATATGTACTCGGTTAGTTTATTTAATACCCAGGAGCAGACGAAGATTTTTTTAAAAGAATTAATGCATTTTTCACTATATTATGAATAGAGCCTCGCCTTAACACCTGAACTCCTGACCAAGTGGTCATGAAATTCTAAATTGAGAAGCATCATCTTTCCTCATTATACATGTAACTATGTACCAAGTTCTTTGGTTATATGTCAAAAAGCAGAGACGATTTGAAAGGGTTTTGCATTTTCACTATGTAATCAATAGAGCCGTCAAAACACCAGAACCCCTGAACCTGGGGCCATGAAATCACAATTCTGAAAGAGGTAACCTTATTCAATATAAGAACTCCTGACCCTGGGGCCATGAAATTACAATTCTGAAATAGGTAGCATTACTCAATATAACAATGCACTTGGTTAGTTTATTTAATACCCAAAATCAGAGAAGAAGATTTTTAAAGAATTAATGCATTTTTCACTATATAATCAATAGAGACCCACCCACACCAGAACCCCTGACCCAGGGGCCATGAAATTCACAATTTAAAACAGGCACTCTTACTCATCATTACTATGTACTAGGTTAGTTTATTTAATACTCAGGAGCAGAAAAAGAGATTTTCAAAGAAATAATGCATTTTTAGTATATAATCAATAAAGCCCCGCCCTTACACCAGAACCCCTGACCCAGGGGCCATGATATTCACAATTTAAAAGAGGCACTCTTACTCATCATTACTATGTACTAAGTTAGTTTATTTAATACTCAGGAGCAGAAAAGAAGATTTTCAAAGAATTAATGCATTTTTAGTATATAATCAATAGAGCCCCGCCCTTACACCAGAACCCCTGACCCTAGGACCTACATGTAAAGTTCACAATTTTGGTAGATGCACTCTTGCTCATCATTACTAGGTACTTAGTTAATTTGATACCCAGGAGCAGAGACGAAGGATTTCAAAGAAATAATGCATTTTAACTATATAATCAATAGAGCCCCGCCCTAGCACTAGAACCCCTGACCCTGGGGCCATGAATTTCACAATTTTGGTAGGACTCAATGCTGATAACAATCATACCAACAGTTTGACTTCTTGATGTCCATGAGTAAAGAAGAAGATTTTTAAAAATTCCACTAATTTTTGTGGTTTTGACCCCCCCCCCCCCCGCCAGGGACTATGAAATTCACAATTTTTGTTCCCCTTCACCCATAGATGCGATAGGCCAAAATTGTTGAAATTGGTTCAGCGGTTTCAGAGAAAAGGCTGAAAATGTTCAAATGTTAACTCACGACGACGGACGAAAACGGATAGAAATGGGTCACCTGTGCTGACCTAAAAAGAGGGCAAATATGTACTTTATTGATACACATTTCAGGATGTGAAGCACGGACATGTACCGATCGCGAATTAAGGAATTGCATGCCAGCATATCCTTGGTTGCTTTTTCAGCCCCCTCGAATGACATGCAGGTATGTTTTCTCTGACGGAAACCATATTAACAATTGAAACAATGCCTTATCATCTTATTTCAAATATTCCCTCTGGAAACAAATATTTGTAGATAGTAATATGAGATCATTCGGTATCAGTGATAAGAAAAGTATGTCCGATCAACATAATAAAGACCATGTTGTTTGCAAGACGTCAAACATGGTTTCCCGGGATTAAACAGAAACCTATTAAGGTCAGACGACACGTTCCTCAAATATATGTTTTGTATCTCTTGGTATTATATCAAATTTTTTTCATATTTGTCAAACTTTTCTGATTTCCACATTGTTTTTAAAATGTTTTTAAATATATGTACACCAAAAATTGTGTTAATAGTGTTATAGGCAATTTAGAAGATTACCCATTAGGGTTATATAAAAAATATGACCCTATGGTATCGTGGCAAAATGCCTGGTAAGGTACCCTAATTTTTTGAGAAGAAAACTTGTTCAAGTATCTATACTTCAATGACGAATTCTTAGGAAAATTTATATATTTTTGAGGAAAGTGTCGTCTGACCTTAATGGTAAGGTTAATGTTTCTAGACATATGTTGTCCGCACAAAAAAGGGAGGCTGTTTTAAAATAACATCCTTGATGATAATTAATGAAACATATATGGAGATAACGAACAGTATTTCAGATTAAAAATCCATAAAACAAAACAAAATAAGAGCAGAGCAAACACAGTCCTTCAAAACAGAGGTGGGATCAGGCGCCAAGGAAGAGTGACCAAACCTCTGCCGACCTGTCACACCCACCGTGTGCTCCTTGTCATGACCGGGAAGAAACGGAAAAATCCGTTGTCAATTTAGTGTATTAATTATGGACTAACAATTAGTAAGAAAAACGTCAGTAAGCACTTCAGCCAAGGTGATTGTATCGACTAAACAACTGTAGATTCCTTATTTTTCGCGAGTACCTTTTATCGCGAATGGGATTTTCAAATTCAAAGCGCGAGAAGAATAATTCGCGAACGGACGTTTGATCAAGAGCTTTGACATAGATTTCACAACCATAAAAATAAAAATGAGTATTTTTTTCGCGATTGGTGCGCCAAATTATCCGATAATTTTTTCCACGCGTATATTTAGGAAT